AAAAAAAAAAAAAAAAAGGACACCAGGGTGGGGACGAAGGTGAGTCTAGAAGGAAGTAAAAACATAGACGATGACAGTCCCCACACCTGGGGACCTCCAAAGGCCTAGAAGCGTCCTGGGAGGCAATGCAACATTGGATGCCATATCAGCTGCACAAAGATTGAAAAGTAATATCTCCCAGGGTTTGTCACAAGAGGACACTTTGTGATGTCACATCCTTTTCAGAAAAAGCAAAGATGGTGAGCTAGGGCTGGTCCTTAAAATGCCCCTTGCATGTGCCAGAGAGCAAATGCAAGGTGTGGGAGAGGAGGCCACACACAGCCTGGGGCTGCGTGCTTTCAACACCGCTCCCAAAACTATCTCAACATCACTTTTTATCAAATATTCAGCACCAGTAGAAGAACAGATGTGAATATATTTGTATTTTTTAATTTTTTTTTTTTTTAAGTAGGCATTACGCCTGGTGCAGAGCTAGTGTAGGGCTTGAACTCACGACCCTGAGATCAAGACCTGAGCTGAGATCAAGGGTCGGATGCTTAGCTGACTGAGCCAGCCAGGCACCCCTGCCCCCTTTTTAAAATTTTTATTTATTTTTTTAAGTAGGCTCCACATCCAATGTGGGGCTTGAACTCATAACCCTGAGATCAAGAGTTGCACACTCTGCAGACTGAGCCAGCCAGGTGCCCCATACTTGAAAATTCTTTTCAAATTAGGCAATTACACAATGGTGTTAAATGGGCCTCCAGACCATAATTCCTTCATTTATTCATTCAAGAATTATTTAGTGGAATATACTGTTATCCAGGCACTCCTGTACAGGAAACAACCTTTCAAGATTCCACCTGGCTCAGTCAGAAGAGCCTGTGACACTTGATCTTGAGTCATGAGTTGAGCCCCATGTTGGATGTAGAGATTACTGGAAAGAAAAAAAAAAAAAAAAAAAAAAAAAAAAAAAAAAAAAAAAAAGCTTTAAAAAATAATTAAAAAAAAAAGATGTAAGAGTTTTTTTCTGGTGGACAGATGCAAATTTATTTTGCCCTATGCTCATTTCGTGGGAATAATCTCTTATATAAGAACAACACTAGGATTTTCAATTTATACCCTAGTGGAGTTGTCACTGTGTCCTGTTATTTCACTATTTAAAATGACCAGTCTTAAACTTTCACTCGTCAGAATAGAAACTGGCAATGAAACACGGTAGTCGAGAGCCTAGCCTTGAGAGTTGTTCTGGGCATTCTCTAACATTTAGCCAGCTATGTGCCTGTCTTCAGACCGTAACCAAAGGTACCTAACTCACAATGAGATGATTCATATAAAAGTATTAAAAGGCAAAAGCCAAGCTAGCAGAAGCCCCTCACTCCTAGCACTTCCCTATACTCTTTGGATATAATTGAGCCTGCCATCTTCAGACTTACTCTCTGGTTTTTATCAGTTGAGGAAAAGAGAGAGAATTTCTTGGAGTCATTGGCCAGGTGCCTTCTTTTCCAGGCTCAAAGCAGAAGCAGGAAGCGGGTTGAAGGAATGATTCATCCAACCCAGTTCCACAGTTCCATCCTTTTGATTAACCAGACATGTCACCCAAAGTGCACCGATTGCTTCTTGCCACGCCTGTCGTGGGCTGACACTTTTCTTGCTCAACGGGCTACTTTTATCCATTATCACCGTGGCTTTAGGCCCGGAACTAAAGGACTGGGCTGAGACTCTGGGGTACAGGCTTTTTTGCAGTCGCGTGCTGTAGGGAAGCGTGGGACTGTGTTCTCTATCTAGGGCAGCTGGACCACTCTAGACCAAGCGTGCTTTGTTCACCTTCTCTGAGATGTCCCAGCATCGGTGAAGGCCACTTCCTAGGGGAGGCTGAGTCTTGCCTTGCGCCAACCTCATCTTTCTGGGGGGAGGTCAAAAAAAAATCCTGGGCACCAAGGTCCCAGGTAGAAAACATTTACCCCTGAAAGCTGGATGACAGAGGAGGAAGGGCACCTCGCGAGGCCGCTCTCTACTCACCGTCTGGAGAGAACTGGTCCCTCTCAAACACGGTGATGCAGAGGACCTCCTGCTCCAGGTCTTTGATGAAGAACTGGCAGTTGGAATTCCATTTGGGATTCAGAGTGTCCTGGATCGTCTTGGTGATGTGACACTGGGAGCCCATGGTCACCTCACAGTACGGGTTACTTTTTCCTAGAGTGGACACAGCCTGCTAGACTCCTACCTGGCTGCAGGGCTCTGGGCACGGCATGGCAGGGTCACAGCCACGATGGGCAGCAATTTCCCTCCATGTCCCTCATTTTTACCACCCCCCTCCCATTGCCACACTCGATAAGTGCCATAAAATGGAGCATCTGGGCAAAAATTCCCACAATCCAGCATCACAGTTAAGTTATAATACGTAAATATTGATAACACTTAAATAATTAGATTAATGGACTTTAAAATTAAGCCTTTCCCGTCTCTTTGCTATAGCCTTAGACTGTATCACATCTACTATGAAATGGCAACCACCCGGATCTCTCCGAAAAGCAAAATGGTGGGAAGGATTAAATTGAAAAAAACAAAAACAAAAACAAAAACCTCTAGATTTTAACAAGTGTTAGGAAAGCCAATTCTGGAAGGAAAATTTAGGATTATGGAAACAGCACATTTGACTTAAGTCTGGCTGGGGGGAAGGGAGAAAAGGCTTCTACCAACAACCCATGCTAGAGGGAATTTGAGGTCCTTACCATGTGACCGACAGGGTTTCAGCTCAATGCCTTCAACAACGTTCACCATCAACCTTCCAATACCTGTTGCCCTTTGGGAACGGACTACGACAGCGGGAAGAACAACACAAGATGCTTCACTGAAACATTTGGTGCCTTCCCCAGCCCTGTTTGCCTCAGACCAGTTTTATGTAGCTGCCCCACCCCCCCTTCTCCCCTCAGACTCTGGCTGGCTTGTTCCACCAGGGTAGATGCTCCACCCTTCATCCTGCACCCCACTCTCCCCTCCCCCACTCCCGTCCCTTCTCAGCCTCCCTCCGCCTCCAGGCTCATCTTCCAGCTTTAAGGATTCTGAGCCCAAACTTCTCTGCCCCAGCTCGGCAGGAAACAGTCCATGCCACTGAGCAATGCATACCCAGGTACGCCTTCTCCCGCTTCTTTTTCTCAGTCTCTATATAGAGTTCTGAAGCAGCTTTGATTTTCTGCACCCAGGCAGTCCTTGGAAATAAAAAGACAGAAAGGTGCCAAACAGAACTCAGGAAAAAGGTCTCAGGTCCATTCGAATTCAGTCTCCAGGACCCTACCTGCTTTGTTCATTTGATCTGAACAACAAAGGCTTGGGAAAGAAAGTCTGGTGTTCTGTCAAATGATGCTAATAATTGTTCCTACCATTAATAAGGAGGGAGGAGTGGCATTTTTTATTGATATGCTCGAGACCTGCCTTGGCCTTGGTGCCCCTGTGGAAGAGAAATGCTGACCCGGAGATGTTGGCAGGCAACTCTCTCCTCCCTCGTTGACAAGCATCCCATTACAAAACAGATGCACATAGGGGAAGGGGGGCAAAAATAATATAAAAACAGGGAGGGGGACAAGACATATGACACTCTTAAATACAGAGAACAAGCTGAGGGAGGCTGGAGGGGTTGCAGGTGGAGGGATGGGCTACATGGGCAAGGGGCATTAAGGGCGGCACTTGGGATGAACACTGGGTGTTTTATATAGGGACTGAATCACTAGATTCTACTCCCGAAATCATTATTGCACTATATGCTAACTAACTTGGATGTAAATTAAAAAAAAAAAAATTGAATAAAATTAATTAATTAATTCTTTTAAAAAGCACCCCATGTTTGCCTAACCAAAGAAGGCCAGAAGGATCTCTCTTATTAAACCATCCAAGGGAAGAACAAAACCATTTCCCAGACAGGGAACCACTTTCTAGGGAAAAGCAAACACACTCCGAGCAAAGTAGTTGGCATGACGCTTTCTCCTTCATTTCTCGGAGACCCATGTGTATGATAGCCTTGGCCAGTTTTCTTGTTTGGCACAAATGCCCTTTGGAATGTCGGTTGGCCTTGGGTCAAGTTCGCCCTTCAGAAATGATCTATTTCATTTGGCTGTAGGGCAGAGCCTTGAATACACGATTGAAGCAAAATAACAAAACAACCCACTGCTCTCAGATCCAGAATGTCTGCGTAAGCGAGCCCAGCTGAGGACAGGGTCGGGCTTGGGTGGTCCTATTAATCCCCAGATCACCTTCCTATTGGTTTCTGCCACCCGGAAAACCTTGGGAAACCTGAGATGCTCCACTGATCTCAAAGAAAGATGGAAATTTCCTTTAAAAAAATTCTCAAGCAAAATCAGTTTCAATTCATTTTATTTTGAAAAAGTCACGCCACGTGTTAAACTTTTGAGTGGCTCTGGAGAAAAGTATGAAGACCCCTCCAGCCAGAGGTTGTGGTATTGCAACTGAACAAATGTTGGGACCTGCTGATTAATTAAATGTTCTACATATGTCCAGCCTGGTGGAACCCAGGTGCCCAGTGCCAGGCAGGTGGCAGGTCTTACCTTTCATTTATGCTTTCGGCTCGGAGGGTGTAGACTCGGTCAATGTGGGAGATGTGGAAGATGGGCTCATCTCCAGAAGGGTCAGTGGGTAATTTTACTAGAACCTCATTCAGGAAAATAGGCTGAAAGAGAGTGCACAGGCATTAAACAACCAGACGGGATTCTGTGTGTTTCAATGAACTATGAGTGTGCGTGAGCTTATGTGCACATGTTCTAATAAACTAAACTGAGTGTGTGTGTGTGTGTGTGTGTGTGTGTTTTCCAGTAAACTCTACTGGAATCATAATTTTGCATTAATATCAACTTTCATGTATTGCAAACTATAAATAGAATTTTTGCCTCCTCCATTTTGCTGGTATTTTTTAAGCCCTTCGCAATACGAGCTGACCGGTCTGTTTTGGCCATTGCATATCCCAACCAGCAAACAGTCTTCAACAACTTAACCTCCAGCCAATCCCCTCCAAAGATTTTCATACAAAGTTGCTAGTGACAATCTACATAAGTACATTGTTCTTTGCCCCACAATCACCATCACCCCACAATCCCCTAACTGCTGCTTCAGAGAAAATTCTTCCGCAAAAACGCCCCCACACAGACAAATTTAGGAAAATGGTATCCCGTGACACAAAGACACACAAACACAGCTATGTACATAGGAGCAGACCAAATAAACAGCAGAGGGAAATTCTCCACACATGGACTGTTTAGATTGGCTTTTGCTGGAAAAGGTGAGGGGCACAGATGTTTCAAGTGATCCTGAGAAGTTTGGGGAGGGGTCTGGGAATGCTTGCAAGGTGGGCACCAGTGCTCAACTTCTGAGCTGTCCCATGCCTGCCTCCTGCGTCACACTAGACCGTGAGCCCCACCAGCATAGGGGGCACTCCTCATGTCTGAGGAACCACAGTGGCCATTTGGAAGCTCATAGATAGATGTCTTGTCAATCGAGTCGAATGCTGTTCCTCTTCTGATAATGTTGGAACTGCACTTCTTTACCCTAAACCCTGGCTCATCCCTCCGTCTTCTCCTCTACGCCACAACCCACCCCCCCCAAACCCTGCTCATACTCTGACTCCTTTTGGAAACTTTCTCCTTTCCCCGCCAACACCAACCCTGATATCGCAATCTAGAATCGCAATCTAGAACCACAATCTAGAACCACACTTACTGTTTTGTACATTTTGTACTGCAGGTTCGATTTGGGACTGAAGACTTTGTCCGTGCCAGATGAGCCCAAGGGCTTTATGATTTGGGTCAGCAGGAGGAAGTCGTTGAAGAGGAAGCCATACAGCTCCTTGTTGCTCTTGGCCTTGTAGAGTTTCCCACTGTGCAGAAACTTGCGTGGCCCCAAGCAGTTGGTCACTGAATTGAACACAAGTTGCTGAGAAAGGAAAACAAAGCCCAAAGAGGACACGGTGAAGGGAGGTCATTTTTTGATTTTTGTGTTTCTGCGTCTGAAAGCGCAGGCTCCGTCAGAATCGGAGGCTGGGCCCCCACGGGCCTGTATCTTAGGCTTCAATCAAAGACTGCCTTGCAGACTTCAGGCAGTACCTTTCAGGGCCAAGGAGTCAAAGGCAGTCAAAGACACAGTTCTGGGGATTCCAAGTGTCCAGATGAGTCTTGAATATACTTCTGACTGCTTTCTCCCGAGGGGTCTACTAATGTCTGAGGGTGTCGGTGCCCCCCTTTTATTTACTGGGAAATGGGAAACAGGAAGAAAATTCTCGGCCCTCTCCCACCTCAATGAGCATGGGCTGTGTCTCCAGAGGGGGCATCAGCCAGCTCCAGTGATGATCCCACACGGGTTCAAAAGGTCCCTTGCACTTGGGGAAAGCAACAACCACTCCCTGCACAATTCTACAGACCACATGCTACTTTCCAAGGTCAGCTAGAGTCCAGGCCCCTCGCACGTGAGTGAGTGCAAAACTCAAGGGCGCTGAGTGATGCCTCAAAGCCAAGCAGAGCAGACACGGTGTTGGCTCACATTAAATCTCCACCAACTAGTCCGGAAAGTGTGAAGGGGACACTCTCATTGCCACTTTGCCAAACCTTGGAGATGGCTCCAAGTGCCGCTAAAACATGGCTCTATCATCCCTCTGGGCTCTCTCATCTCATGTGAGCAGTTTCTAAAGGGGCAGAGGGAGACCGAGGCAGAAGAATGACCTCACTAGGATCCCCTTTTTTTTGGCGCAGGGTGAGAGACTGAAAGAGGGAAAGGCACAGCTGTGCCCAGGCAGCAGTATGATCCAGGCAAGGGTCAGACTCTCACGGCCCCCACCTGTCCACACTTGGGCCCCAGGGGTTGCTCTACTAGCAGCCTTCAAGGCCAATGCTCTCCAGAACTATGAGCCCTATAGGTCTCCCTGAGGACAGTATTTGTGAAGAGGTGACAGGGTTCACACCATGTGTCCCCCGAGAGATGTTGGTGGCCACTCATCTCCCTCCATCATGGGAGACAGAATCAGCAGTGCCTCTGTGGCTGGAGATCTATAGGCATCAAGGAAGAGTGACCACTCCACTCACTCTTGGGTACAAAGAGCGAGAAGTGTCTCTAATCTGCCACCGGGGCTCTGAGGGAGCCCAAAAGACTGAAGATGACACCCAAATGGGAGCCTTTAGTACCTAGTTTTTACCCCTTTGCACTATGAACAGGAGGCTGGAGATCAACCCAGCCCTTCTGGCTTGCCAAGAGAGTCCAAGACACTTGGGGACAGACAATGAATCCAGAGAAGGCAGACTGGATCACATAAAGGTGATGTCATTTATTCATACTCCAAGTTTGGGGCCTCCAATTGGCCAGGCTAACACTGAATATAAATGAATTGGGAATGATATTTACATTTCTCTATCTTTTAAAAGAAGTTTTTTAAATGTTTATTTACTTTTGAAAGAGAGAGAGAGAGAGCGTGCAAGCAGGGAGAGGCAGAGAGAGAGGAAGACGCAGAATCTGAAACAGGCTCCAGGCTCTGAGCTGTCACCACAGGGCCCAAGTGGGGCTGGAACCCATGAACCATGAGATCGTGACCTGAGCCAAAGTCGGATGCTTCACTGACTAAGCCACCCAGGCCACCCCTACATTTCTCTGTCTTAAGACAAGAGTGGCAAAGACAGCATTTATGTGAAAGTTAATCATAGGTCTGAGCCCAGATCTGGGCCAGGAAACGGAAGCCAACGTGCCCCCTTTCCATGATTGTACAGACAGACGGAAGCTGCTGTACAATAGCTAGGTAAGACCAGCCGATAAGGAAGGACAACAGTCTGTTTCAAAGAGGACACAGAAGCCACGAAACTCAAATGGCAAGAGCTTATTTTATGCTGCATGATTTAAGATGAAGACCCAGGCAGGCTTCACTGAGTCCACCCGATGGCAGCCATGAGACGCAAGGAAGGGCCCCTTTCCAAAGTGCATGTCGCCATGTTGGCACTTCTGCCTGGCAGATTCGGGTGCTGTTCAGATCCACCGTCTGCAGGATCAAGTTAAAGCTCCTCTGAATGACACACAGGCCATTCTCGCCCTGCCTTCAACTTGCCATAAAGCCGTATCGCCTATCGCCCTACAGATGCCCGGCTCAGGACGTCCCTCCGCTAAGATGCCCTCCCCCTGGTTTCCTACCTGGATAGACATCTTCATCCTTCAACACCCAGCCCAGTGTCTCCTTCTCCAATGCTTCCCTGAATCCCCCTATGACTGTCCCTTCCTCTTCATCATGTGTTCCCACAGCACCTGCAGCTGGCTCTGCCTTGCCACCCATACTTTATCGTAAACATTGGTTTCGTCCCTCCACTTCATCCAGAACCGCAGAACCCTAGAGAGGGGAGAGGTGACATCTTTGTGATTTTCATGTCCTTAGTGTTTAGTACACTAAGGCAATGGCACATGGGCAGGTGCTCAAGAAATGTTTATTGAATGAATGGATGGATGAAAGCATAAGTGAGCCAACCAGCCGGATGAATGCCCCTGGATTGATTATCGACACAAAATTCCAAAATGGGAGTCTACACTTGTCACCTGGATTTCCACAGGGCTGCTCCCACGGGCTGGCTTATCCCACACCTGTGCTGAAGGCCAACAAGGAAGTGAGGCAGGGAAGGAACCAGCGGTGATGACTTCCTCGGGTAGTGCCTGCCTTTGAAGCATTGTAAGAAGGAGGAAGCCACAGGAAGAGGGGGGTGTGGGGGATACATTCTGCCTGGGCATTTTGGTAAACCCTAGTGAATGGCGTGTGTGCAGGCATGTGTGTGTGTGTGCGTGCATGCACATGCATGCAGAGGCAAAGAAAGGGGGGGGGAAGGGCAGCAAGAATAAATGAAACTAAGGGAAAGGTAGGGCACAAGAAATAATTAAATACTAGAAGCGAGACTTCTGTTGCTCCAGTATTGATGGGCTACACTGACCGATCCAGTGAAAATTTTAAAAAACTGAGTAGAATATAAAAATTCACTTTTGAAATGCAAGCAAAATGATAAAAATGTAAAACAAAAACAAGTTTAAAACAATGTGCAGAGGCCGAAAACAATGAAAATGTGAACCCCAGAAGATAAACCCCAAAGCCAGCTTCAGCCCGACAGCCTCCCTTGAATCTGGTGACCTTCAGCGTCCACTTCAAAAGCCATATGGGCCGCAGGAAACAAGCGATGTTTCCAGGGCTCACTGAGCTGAGGGATCTAACAGGAGAGCTCCACCAAAAGAAGCCCACAGAGGAAAGGCCACGAGTGAACTCAAGCGCAGCAGAGATGAACAAGAAGACTTGCTTGTTTTTGACCTTGGTGTAAGTGGAATGAAAAAAAATGCCCCTGAGAATCTGCAGCCACAGGGCAACTCCCGACCCATTCACAACTACAATTCACACGCTAGTGTGATCCAAAAACCCCTCTATGTGAAACTTAGGGTGATCCTGGTAGCAATTCTCTCAGGAGGAATGCAACTTCAGAGCTCCAAGGTCCCACAGACAAAGCTCCAAGGGACACTGAGCTCACGATCGAAAATCACAGTACATACAGAGAAGCAGGCATGCACGGTGACAGCTAGCAGAAACAGCAGAAGGGAACAAGATCCATAACTGTAGATACTACGCTTCTCTGCTGTGAGATATGCAGGAATATGTTTAAAATGTGTTGGGGGAAAAAAACCGCAGAGCATGGCCACGCGTGCAAGGACAAGACACAAGAGAGGAACCAGCAGATCCGACAACACAAACAGAACTGTCGAAAATGGAGAAGAAAGCAATACAGAAATTAAAAAGTCAGTGGGACAGGTTCAGGAGCAGGGGAGAGGCAGCTGGAGACAGAACAGGCTGTAGTCTGGAGAGGACGGTTCACGATCTTTCTCGCCGCTGAGGCTCAGCGGGAGGGAGGCCCGGGTCCCAGCCCGAAGGCAGTTACCTCGGACAGGCCTTCACACTGCACGTGGCCTTGGATCCACTCCAGCCGGTCGGAGTTCTCCTTCTCCCGCACCCCTTCGTTCACCTGGGAGCACAGCTCCTCCGCTTTCTCCAGGGCGTGCTTCAAGTGGCTGTGGTCAGGGTGGTTTTCAGGAGTGTTTTCCAGGATCTACACGGAAGGACAGAAGACGGCAGCCTCAGGCGGTGCAGGTGGACCTGGGGTCCCCTGTGCTGGGGGGCCCAGCACAGGAGGGCCTGGACCTTTCCTGATGGGTGCTCACATGAGAAACCGCAGCTCTGAGCACCCAACTGCAGCAATGACGCGAGCGTGACGGCCACTCCTTGTTGGCCAGGGCCCCTCGGGAGGCAGGGGACACCACATTATTTATACTTTGGTATGAGGAGGGCAGTGGCTGCAGCAAGCGCATTATACACCCCACATGGATTTCTCCCTGGAAAATGGCTCTTTTCCTGGGTCCGTGCACAGCTGCGGCAACCTGCGCACCTCTGGACCAGTGTGCAAAGGGGTACATCTGAGCAAATGTGCCTTTTTCTGGGTAGAACCCTCGAGGCCAGCGGTTAAGAGTGCCAGTCCTAGGGCTCCACCTCCTGCATTAAAATCTCTGCTCTGCGACTGACCAGGCGTGCTATGGGTCAGTCCCGTAAATGTTCTGAACCACAATTTCCTCATATGAAACGTAGGGATGCTAACAGCACCTCCTTTGGGGGCGCCTGGGTGGCTCAGTTGGTTAAGCGACCGACTTCGGCTCAGGTCATGATCTCGCAGTCCGTGAGTTCGAGCCCCATGTCGGGCTCTGTGCTGACGGCTCGGAGCCTGGAGCCTGCTTCCGATTCTGTGTCTCCCTCTCTCTCTGCCCCTCCCAGACTCATGCTCTGTCTCTCTCTGTCTCAGAAATAAATAAACATTAAAAAAAACTTTAACAGCACTTCCTTTATAAGATTGGAGGACTCAGTGATTTGATACAGTAAAGTACTTTGCAAAGTGCCTGGCCCTTAGAAGGTGCTCAGTAAAAGGGAACGATTATCATCGGGTGTACCTACCGAGGCTTTGTCCAAACACAAATCATTCACATGGACCTAACCTCGAATAATATCTCATCTCAAAGGTACACTTTGGCTTAAAGTCCTAGGTAAGCCCCTAACTTGAGAAAAATGCACATTCTGGGTCCTGCGTGGCCACCGATCATCTCCAACAAGGGCCCCACCCTCCAGGCCAAATCCCGGCTGAGGTCAGGATCCCTTTGGAAACTCCTGTTGTCATCCCTGACCATATCCCTGGGGGCGTAGGAATTTTCTAGAGCTCTCCAGGTGATTCTAACGTGCAGCCCAGTCTGAGGATTACAGTGCTAGACTGGGAGCCCACACAGCTGCCTTGTGTGAATTCATTTGTCTTTCTTTTTGTTTCGTTTTGCTTTCCTTTTTTTTCTTCTTCAATTTACTTGAACTAAAAACAAAACAAAACAAAAAAACAAAAACAGGTTACCCATTTATGCCACCGCCTACCCCTGCCTCCGGCCACCACCAATCTGTTGTCTGTATCTGTGAGCTTGGGAGGCTTTTTTAATTAATTTTTTTCAGATTCCAAATATAAGAAAGATCATATGGTATTTGTCTTTCTGTGTCTGAGTTATTTCACTTAGCATAATGCCCTCGAGGTCCGCGTCGCTGCAAATGGCAAGATGTCACTCTTTTTAATGGCTAAATAATATTCCATTATATAAATTATATTATACATGTTATACATAATATATTTACATCATAATTTATATATCTATTCATCCATCAGTGGACAAGTTGGTTGTTTCCATGTCTTATAAATAATGCTGCAATGAACATAGGGGTGCATTTATCTTTACAAATTACTGTTCTTGTTTTCTTCAGGTAAATACTGAGAAGTAGAATACCTGGATTGTGCGGTAGCTCTATTTTTAATTTTCCAAGGGACCTCCTTACTATTTTCCATAGTGGCTGCACCAATTTACATTCCTACCAACAGTGGGTAAGAGTTCCTTTTTCTCCACATCGTTATCAACCCTTGCTATTTCTTTATAATCGTCATTCCAACACGTGTGAGATGATTTTTATTTGCATTTCCTTGATGATTCATTGTGTTCAGCATCTGTTCAGGTACCTGTTGACCATCTATATGTTGTCTTTGGAAAAATGCCTATTCAGATCCTCTGCCCATTTTTAAATCGGATTGTTCGTGGGAGTTTATTTTTTATTTTTTATTTTTTTTGCTATTATATGAGTCGTATGAGTTCTTTATATACTTTGGATGCTAGCCCCTTATCCGATTTTTGATGTGCAAATATTTTCTCCCATTCAGTAGGTTGCCTTTTCATTTCGTTGACAGTTTCCTTTGCTGTGCAGAAGCTTTTCCGTTTCCTGTTGTCCCATTTGTTTATTTTTGCTTTTGGTGTCAGATTTTTAAAAATCATTGCCAAGACCTATTCGCGTTGTCAAGGAGATTGCCACCTGTTTTTTTCGGGGAGTTTTATGGTTTGGGCTCTTACATCCGAGTCTTTAATCCATTTTGAGTTAATTTTTGTGTACGGTGTAAGACATTGGTCCAGTTTCATTCTTTTGCATGTGGCTGTCCAGTTCTCCCAACATGATTGATTGATTGATTGATTGATTGATTTAATTTTTTAATAATGTTTATTTTTTGGAAGGCTGTGCACAGGGGAGGGGCAGAGAAAGTGGGGTGGACAGAGGATCTGAAACGGGCTCTGTACTGACAGCAGAGAGCCTGATGTGGGGCTCAAACTCGTGAACTGTTGAGATCATGACCTGAGCCAAAATCAGACACTTAACTGACCTAGCCACCCAGGTGCATCCCCCCCCAACACACACACCATTTATTAAGGAGACTGTCCTTTCTCTATTATATATTCTTGGCTCCTTTATTGTAAACTAATTGACCATATATGCATGGGATTATTTCTGGGTTCTCTATTCTGTTCCACTGATCTATGTATCTGTTTTTAATGCCAGTACCATACTGTTTTTTTTAATTATTATAGCTTTGTAATATAGTTTGCAATCAGGGAGTGTGATGACTCCAGCTTTGTTTTTCTTCCTCCAGATTGCTTTGGCTATTTGGGTATTTTATGGCTCCAAGTTTTAGAATTGTTCTATTTCTGTGAAAAATGTTGGAATTTTGAATGGGCTTTCATTGAATCTGTATGCTGTTTGGGGCAGAACGGATATTTTAACTACATTAATTCTTCTATTCCATGAGCATGGAATATCTTTCCATTTATTTGTGTCTTCTATAATTTCTTTCACTAATGTCTTACGGCTTTCAATACACAGATCTTTCAACTCCTTGGTTCAATTTATTCATAGGTGTTTTATTCTTGTCGATGAAATTGTAAATGGGACTGTTTCTTTAATTTCTCTTTCCAGTAGTTCATTATTAGTGTATAGAAATGCAACAGATTTTTGTGTATTGATTTTGTATCCTGCAACTTCACTGAACTTATTAGTTCTAATAGTTTGCTTTGTTTTGTTTCAAAATGGAAATGGCCTTATTGATTTTTCTGTAATATTGTACAATATTCAGAATTCAGAAAATTCAGCAAGTTATAAAGAACTTGGGGTGCCCGGTTGGCTCCGTTGGTTAAGCGTCTGACTTCGGTTCAGGTCATGATCTCACAGTTTATGAGTTCAAGCCCCAAGTCGGGCTCTGTGCTGAAAGCTCTGAGCCTGCAGCGTGCTTTGAAGTCTGTGTCTCCTTCTCTCTCTCTGTTCCCCCCCACCCACTTGTGCTCTGTCTCTCTCTCTCTCAAAAATAAATAAATGTAAAAAAAAAATGTTTAAGGGGCGCTTGGATGGCTCAGTCGGTTAAGTGTCCAACTTCGGCTCAGGTCATGATCTCAGTTCGTGAGTTCGAGCCCCGCGTCAGGCTGTGTGGTGACAGCTCGGGGCTGGAGCCTGCTTCGGATTCTGTGTCCCCCTCTCTCGATGCCCCTCCCCTGCTAATGCTCTGTCTCTCAAAAGTAAATAAACATTAAAATTCTTTTTTAAATTTTTTTTGAAATAAAAAAAAAAAACCTAAAAAATCACCCATAATCTCCCCATCTGGAGAGAACTTCTGTCTGTATATTAGTTAAATGCTCTGCCTACACATACACACACCACACACACACACAGACACACGCACACAACTTTTTAGAAAATAAAAATTAAATCATGCTACCATACCACACTGTGCCATTTTGCACACTGTTTTTCCCCCCACTTAATAGCAGTTACACAATATCATTTGATGCCCATATCCTGTGGACCTATGCTATCATTTTTAAGGATTCTATGATGCATCGTTGTAAGGATGAACTACAAGTCATTTAAATAGTTCCCTTCCCATAAAAATTCATGTTGTTCCTAATTTTTAAATATTTCTCTGATTATTTTTTTTAGGACAAATTCCTAGAGGTGGAAGTGTTGAGCCAAAGAGAATGTGCAGTTTGATCTGTCCAACACCTTCCAAGAGCCTGAACGACTTTACCTTCAAGCAGCATTTTTGTCAACACTGTTGACCTACAATCTTTTCAATATATGCCTATCTGGCAAGCCCAAAGCAAGGTATTTTCTTGTGTGGCCATGCATCTCTTTTATTACTAGTTAATTTAAATTTGGTACATTTACATATACTAACTTGGTTAATTCTCACAACTCTTTGCAGTAGGTAGTATTAGTGTTCCTAATTTACAGATAAGGCATCCGACGCCCAAAGAGGTTAAGTAACTTAACCCAAGGGTATACAGCAGTGGGGACTGATATTCAAACCCAAGCAACCTGTCTCCTGACTGTGTTCCTTACTGCTATTCTGCACTGCCTCCCAGAAATATCTAGCTGTATATTTTACCTATTTTCCCTCTGGAGTATTTATCTTTTTCCTTTTGAGCTGTAAGTTGCCTTACTTAGAGGATAGGTAGACACATAGATAAATACAGAGATACAGGTAGGTCATCTATGTATATTTCAGCACCCACTTACATACAGTCTGAAATATATTTACCCAGGTTCCATCTGTCATTTGTCTTTTGATGTTGTTCATTATATTTTGTCACACAGAAAATTTTTAAGAAAAACATTGTTACAAATAATATATTGACACATTCTTGATATGCAAGATTCAAACAATACAGAAGTACACAGAGCAAAAGTGAAAGTTGCCTTTCACTATCCTACCCAAGAGATAACAGACTGAAGGGCATCCCTTTAACTACTTTTGGATGCTCTGCACATATTTAATAATCACACATAGAGCTTGTCCTCTGTTTTGCAGAATGAACCACACTGTAGGATTACTCATGAAAGGTGTTGTTTTGTTTTGCTTTGTTTTGTTTTAAGTAGGCTTAATGCCCAGTGTGGAGCCCAATGCAGAGCTTGAACTCACAACCCTGAGACCAAGGTCTGAGTTGAAATCAAGAGTCGGTCACCCAGGTGTCCCCCTCCCCCCCCCTTTTTTTTAACTTAATAGCATTTTCTGGATGTCATTCCATGCTAATTCATAGAAGTCTCTATTTTTAAAAATATTTTCATAGTACAGATCTATCACAATTTATTTGCTCTACTTAATGAACATCCAGACTAAAATATTTTTTTAAGTTGCTACAACTCTAAATCCTTTACCTTTCTTTTCTTAGTGCCATGCTAAGAATTTCTCCACCTCAGTCTCATAAAAAATAGTTCATCTTAGTACTTTGATGGTTTTTCATATGTATTATAACTGGCTACCTTTTAAAAATCTCTTCTTAGCTCCACTATTTTTCAGTTCATTCTCAGGTCCTTGAAAGGGCAGCAAGCATGTTTCTGCAAATAACTATAATTTGTTTTTTCCTCTTTAATATGTATGACTCTCAGTTCTTTTCTTGTTTTTGTCCCCCTTTCCTCACTGGCTAGATCTAAAACACCTATTTGAAAAGCCTGTTTCCAACTCCAATGTGCAATTAAATATTGGGGGAAGTAAACAGAAGTACTGAGCTAGTTAAATAGTAACAGTCAAGTTGGAAGAGAGGAGATAGTAGGTCGAAGGCCTGCTTCCAATCTAATCATTTAATTCAGCCAAGGTGGCCAGAGTGTATTTTGTGGCCTCAAGCTGGGGTTGAACTGAGGAGACCGGAGGGAGATGTGTTACTATAAAGAGTTTGAGAAAATTACTAAACATACTGAGGATAATGAGAGGCAGGTTTCTCATAGAAAAGTTATAAGTATAGAAAGGAGGAAGGTTAGAATAAATTCTGTGGCTAAAGATTAGAACAGGAGGTATCAGTGTCAACTCATAGGTTTTAATATGCATTTTTATATACATGGATTGATCTAGACATAAATATAAATGTGTGTACACTTACATATATGTGAGTATGTGTGTATGAATGTAATACATACATATATTTCCTGACTCTACCACTGAGAGACTCAAATGGCAATAACACCCCAATCGCAATGAGCACACCAGTGCCCAGATCAGGGCGTCTAAAGTCTCCACTAAACGGAACCAAATCTAAAGCCCGTCTCCAGGAGCTAGCCCCCCTGTGGTTATATAATCACAGGCTCAGAGGATGTCGGAGTCTGCTCCCTCATATTGCAGATGGAGACATTGTGAGATGGCTTCACAATGGCTTTCTGAGGATGGGTGGCCGGCATTACGTTTCTTTCTTTTTCTTGGTAGGAAAATCAGGCACGAAGGCATTACACCTCTATTAGGAAAAGAACCAAGAACTGAGCTCCCTTTTTCCAACTTATAGGGTAAAAGCCACTTGGTATCACAGCTGAAGACTGTATATCATTAGCTCTTTTCACAATAAACAGCTTTTCTTTCTGAGTTACCAAGCAGATGCTTCCAACATCCCATTGGTGTATGATTCGATACAGCAGATACCGGGTGCATTGGCTGGGGAACTTGCCCGTGACCCCGGATCCCTGAAATGCTGAGCAAGCATTCTTCTGCTTGAAAAGGTGAGATGGCTACTTACATTTTTAATGATCAGTGGGTATCTTGTTACCCGTTGCATAGGCTTCAGTATAAAACTAGAGAGTGGCATCCCTTTACATCGAGGGTCCATTGCCAGTCTCTGAAATGAGAGATGTTTTAAATGCACTTAAGAAATCTGCAAAACCGAGTCAGTGACATCAACACTGATGTTATTGAGGACTCCCCACCCATCACGTTGTCTCATTTATCTGGACCAGAACTGAGGAGCCTGGAGTTGGAAGGGCCTGACTCATTATCCTGGTCCAGGATGAGGCACGTTCCAGATGGACACTGGACACCAGTGGATGTGACTCAGCCACCAGGGTTAAGTCCTGGTCTCCAGAGTCAGTACACCCTCCCTGGGACATACAATTCCTCCCTTACAGAGATGAGATTCTGACTTTACAGAGAATATTTCTTCTGGATATCTGCCAGAGCTTTATAACAGTCCCAGGAATAAGAAGAGACACAAGACTGTAGAATTAGAATAAAAATCCCCCTTAAGTCCCAGAGATGGCACGAGGGCTGGATCTCATTGTCTGGTTCAGATGCAGCCTGCACATCCCTGTGGGAGCCCCAGGAAGGCAAGGACAGTGGAGCTGAGACATGAGGGGTGAGGACTGCAATCTCAAGTCCTGAAAGTTGTCCCCACCCTAGACCACCTGTCCCTTTTTTCAACTCAACTGGGGGAAAGAGTCCTTTTACCCCCAAAAGATGATCCCATCCATAAGTCACAGGGATAACATGGTGACTCAGCTTTCAAAGGCATTGGTCAGGTTTAACAAAGCCTTAGAAACAGGCGGCTGCCGTGACCTGGGCCCCAACTGTCAGTGTCTGAATCCGCTCCCAGACGTGGACATCATCACTGCAGGAACACCTCACACCTGGCAAGGGCACGTCAAACCCCCTCAGGGATGGGGTGAGGGGAGGTGATCAGGGAACGGAAATAAGCCCCCTGCCCTGGGTGGTGTCAGCATTTCCCTCAAGTTCAAGTGCATCCAGTGATGAATTCATCCTGCCTTGTGCCCAGGGAGGACTGGCCCTTGGCTGAAACCCCAGGTGGCCGAGCATCTGCTCTCCAGTCTCTAGGCCACCCTGGGCCTACTTCTTACCGAAATTTCTCCCCTTTGAATGACTTTAGAATGTCCCGATTCACTGGAGAGCAAATCAAAGCATTTCATGTTGAGAAACACCAGGGGAACAAGAAAGAACAAGCATCATATGATGCAATGGTCAAGGAGGGAACACCCTTGTACCTCACAGTGATGATTCCACAAACACGATTATTGGGCCAGAGGGAATGGTCTGCCCCCAAATGCACAAGGTACAAAGATAAGCCTGCCATTAGTGTTACTGGTCTATTCCCTAAAATGTAACTGTTTAGCAGAAATTATTTGATTCTCTTCCTATGGTTTTTTCTCTGGGAGACGTGGGGGCTGTTTGAGTGGGCCAGTGGGGCCAGCAGGGACCTACCCCAGTCAATGCCAAGTCCCAGGGCCCGGAGCCTCCAGCAGCATGGGGCCCACCTCCCCAGATGTGGACACATGGCTCTCGAGATCCCCCTACCCCAAGGTAGACGTCCTACATCCCACAGTCACCCCCACAGGCTTCTTAGGGTTTGAGGCCATCAACAAGAACAAACTGGAAAAGGAACAAAGGGTCCACTGGGATTCCTGGCCATTCCCTCTGCAGCAAAGAACTGGGGTGCTCAGGCCAAACAGAATAGGAAACCTGAGGGGCGCCAGCTGTGCTGGGCCTGACAAATGAGACAGAAGATTAAAACCTGCATCCAAACAACACCACTAACACTCCTGGACCACAGATCAGAGCTGCAGGGCGCAGGGCTGGCCCCTCCTCTCCACGTCCACCCCTTGGGTCACAGCCACACCTGCCAGCTCACATCACCCCTGTTGCTCAGCCAAGACCTGAGTCCTGTTGGCTTTTAGCAGGAATGAGCTTGCAGGCTTGACTTCGCTCCTCGCACCCTCAGCTGTCCTGCGACAACCACTCAGGGGCCGGGGCTCGGCTCAGCCTGGGCTCCTTACTTTGACAAACTCCTTGAAGTCCGGGGCCTCGTCCGTCTTCTGCTGGATCAGGGCAGCCCCATTGAGCTGACAGCTGCAGAAGCGGATGTAGGGCTGCATGTGCGGCAGCTGGGCGGTCAGGATGTCGCCGACCATCTTCACAGGCATCTTCTCCCCAGACATCTTCTTGCGGACTCTCAGCGCTCTGCACGGGAACGTGAGAAGTGAGCCCCCTGCCTTTACCCTCAGCCAACGGTGACATGGTGCACTTCTAGGTTGTACAGAAACAGAATGTGTGTGAGGGGCACAGACCCAGGGCCACTAAAGGATCTACTGGGGAGACAAGGAACAGAAAAGAAATGAGTCTAGTGCTACAGAGAGGTATCACCGGGCCATTTTTCTCTGGCATGATGGCTGTTGGCTGGTTCTTAGGAATAAAAACTTTTCAAAGAAATCTTTGCTGAATGAGTCAGCATGAAAAATAGTATTTTTCTCATGGAAAAATACGGAATCAGTTATTTAGTAACTCAGACAGGATCTCTGTGTTGATGTCTCACTTCATAGACGATCTGTGGTCAAAGTCCCAGGCCACTGTGGCCCCAGCACTGAGTCTGATTCCGGACCAGTGCCACCCAAGGGAGGCTACTGTTGCCAAGGGACATGAAGGCTCATTTTCAGACTGAACATAACATAATTAAGATGGTAAAAATCAACTGCCACAGAAAAATAATCCCATTATGTCACCAAAGCCAGGTACAAATGATTGTCTGGACTATCTGTGTCATTCACTGCTTCATTGCTGTGGCTAATTTGAAATTGACTGGATTACGGGGTTCTGAAAAGAGAAGCCTGTTTATATGATAATGGACCAATGAACCCACACAATTCACATCCTGGAGGCTGAGGAGAGACTGATGGGACTGGGAAAGGTTTATTCTGGGTCCAGCGGCAGCCTGAGTGTTCAGGGCCATGAGAGCCAAGACTGTGCATCCCAACCTTCCAACTACAATATGAGAACTCCTAACACCAGCCTCTAGAGGACATATCACTGGGCTTCTAGCCAGCAAGGATAGCAATGCACCCTGATGGCAGGACCACAACATGAGGCATGAATGTGTTCTGCCTACCCCAATGATGATGGATAGATGGATGGATGGATGGATGGATGGATGGATGGATGAAACGGAATGGTACAATATATGATTTTCACATAACCTTTGGCTGCTTTCATGGTCATGTTAGAGAAGCCCTGAGGTAAGGATAAAGCTACAGAATTCCAAGGAAGCTTTGCAATATTAGCATTAGGCTTTAAAAACTTCACATCACATTATTTTCTTTCTCCTACATTTTGGCTAAAGGAATAATCCTTGGACTGGGCAAACAAGTCAGGGAGAGAAATTTTAGGGAAAATAAATTATGTGGTCTGAACAATTAGGAATTCTCTCTCTGCAGATGCCCTTGTAGGGAGAGATGCCTATCAACACTGGCAGCTTGGGGGGAGAGGGGTGGCAGCCTGATACCCTCAAAATAGCCAAATGGCCATTGCTCATTGAGGGGGTTGGTATGGAATATCTCCCAATGTGTAGAAATTTCCTCAACTTGCTCAATTGGGGATGATGTCACCCCCAGTTCTGGGGGACCAGAGCCCTGAATAACCATGTTACAAACTGGTTATGCATGGACAGTGGAAGAAATTCCATCATTCCATCATTTTCCTACGAGGAGGAGCAAAAGAATCTTTCACTAAGAGAATAAAAGTACCATCCTCTCCCCCACCCCCTTAAAAAAATAATAATGGAGGAGACAAGGAAAGGAGAAAAGAAGAAAGATGGGCATTGTCGTGAAGAGGTTAAACCAACGCCTGGGTTCTGGAACCCCACACTTGCAGACTTGAGTTGTCCACCTAGGGGCCAGGCCTAAAACCAGGCTCGTACTATGGACCAGGCACCTGTTAGGTTCACTCGTGGGTCTCCTTCTGGGATGTTGTACCGCACAGGCAGGACTGGGCCTGAATGGGTTTGAACAGAGGGTGTCACCAGGCTCCCGGGTCATGTGACTCAACTGCCACAGCTCTGCCCTTTGGTGAGCTGGTTTGTAATCTCATCTAAAGGTTTACTGGGTGGAGGCCGTGAACGGCTGATAAGCAATCAGCTAATGGACATTTCAAAGAGCGCTCGGTGTTTGCTGGATGAATTAGCACTCCCGACCCTCTGAGGTCCGCAGAGCAAGCACATGGTCAACAGAGCTTGCATTTATTAATACGTCCTTTACGTATCAAACAAACACTCTCATGTGTACTGCTAACTCTCCCTATTGGCTGTTGGCACACCTGAGGCCTAGGGAAACCGAGAGACCTGACCAAACTCACACAGCTAATACTGACGGGAGCAGCCCTTGAACCCAGGAGGTGTGACCTGTGACCCCGGAGCTCCAGGTCCCTGAGCACTGAGCGTGAGCCAACAGACACAGCGTCCAGACCCGCCTCCACTCCCGAGCTGCTCTGCGCAGGCCCCGCCCTTCCTCCGGAAGCAGCTCCTGCCCTCTGGCCAAGTTTCTCTCCACTTCTCTCCTTCCACAGCCCTCTGCTTCTCTCCCTGTCTCCGCTTCCGGCCTCTCCTCCATGCCCCGCCCCCAGCCCCAAGGTCCCTCCCTCCAGGCGGAGCCTGCTTGGGATTCTCTCTCCCTCTCTCTGTCTCTACCTGTCCCCCACTCGCACTCTCTCTGTCTCTCTCAAAAGAAATAAACTTTACAAAATTTTTAAAAATACACAAAAAACAGTCCCTAACACCTGGTTTGCACAGCCCTATGTCACTTCTGCGTCCCTTCTATCACTTCTGACAGCTATACTCAGGGGCCTGTGCCCACTCTTAACATAAAAACGTTCTAGATCTTTCTGTCCTACTCTGTTTCTTAAAAGCAAATTTCACAGCTCTCCACTCACCAGCAAGAGAACAAACCATCCGCTCTGACCCCCAACCAGAGGCATCATTAGTAGGAAGTCCTATGTCCCAGTTAGCACCCCTTTATTTTCATTGTATTTGTTTCTTATTTATCTGTCTCCTAAATCCCATGTCCTTCCCCCTCCCACCCCAAGTTCAAGGAGTCGCTGGCCCTTGGATCGGGAGTGGCAGATATGTGGCCTTGCAGGGATTGCTGCCTTACAGTCTCTTTATCCAAAAAAAGCCTTCCTCTTCTAGCCTGCAGGGGCCCCCACATCCCCCCATCATTGGGGTTAATCCTTTGCAGGAGAAATCAAGTCTATGCAGCAAAGGAATGTAGCAAGATGTTCACTACACAATCCACAATATGGGCGTTCACCTTATACTTCTTTTCATTTTTCTGTTTAAAATTTTTCATAGTGACATAGAAAAGGGAAAAAAAAAAGAAAGAAATCAGATCCCCAGAAGGCTCCTATTAAATATTTTATCTAGGATATAAAAACATTAGTTCACCCAAGCTAACTGATCGGGTCATCGGAGGAAGGGGACAGAGCACAGGGACACTGTGATGGCAGGAAGACGGTGCTGTGCAGGCATGTTTGACATGATTGACAGTGTGCCAGGGGTACGGCTCACCTCCTCGCTCCTCAGGATAACCCTGCATGCCCGACCAGGCAGGCACCACACCTACAAGTTGACAGGTCCCAAGACAAGGGGTCCGAGAGGGGTCTGCCCAAGGAAACTGCCCAGAACAAGTTGGAAGGTGCTGGGGGCCAGACACAAACTTAGGACATTCACCTCCTGGCTCCACGTTCTTTCCATCGGTTGCAGGATGGGGTGGAACCTCCAGTAGGTCATCCACAGAGCAGCCTGGGACACAGGCTTGCCTTCTGTGTGACTTCAAGTCACTGGACCTCTCTGAGCCTGGCTTTCCCAGCTGTAAGCACTCTCGATTCCCACCTCCGGGGCTGGGGAGCACGTCAGCGCTAACGGGAGGAAGGGGCTGGCCGTGACAGAGCTCAAGGAAGGGGCTGCTGTTTCCCTGACAGGACAGGAGGGAGGGTGACATGGGGGGCAAGGGCCCTTGGGGACGTGAGATGCATCTCCCACCTCCCCACCACCCACTGATTGCTGCCCAAGGAAAGAGGTTTTAACTTGTAGGTATATTTTCAAGGGCGCCTGGGTGGCTCAGTCGGGTGAGCATCCAACTCTTGAATTTGGCTCAGGTCAGGATCTCATGGTTCATGAGTTCGAGCCCCACATCAGGCTCTGCGTGGACCCTACTTGGGGTTCTCTCACCCTTTCTCTCTGCCCCTCCCCTGCTTGTTCTCTGTCTCTCTGTCTCTGTCTAAAATAAATAAGTAAACTTAAATAAAAATAACTTGTAGGTATATTTTCAACAGAAAACTTGTGGCTATTTTGAAACAACTTGTCTCCAACCCTTCAGGTTCAGTTCCTGTAGGTTCAGGGGTTAACTAGCCCCATTGGCTCCAAGGCAAGGGGGCTGAGCCCAACACTGAAGACAGGCAGGCACTTTCATCTAAAGACCCCCTAGGGGCGCCTGGGTGGCGCAGTCGGTTAAGCGACCGACTTCAGCCAGGTCACGATCTCGCGGTCCGTGAGTTCGAGCCCCACGTCGGGCTCTGGGCTGATGGCTCAGAGCCTGGAGCCTGTTTCCGATTCTGTGTCTCCCTCTCTCTCTGCCCCTCCCCCGTTCATGCTCTGTCTCTCTCTGTCCCAAAAATAAATAAACGTTGAAAAAAAAAATTTTAAAGACCCCCTAATAGCCACCCTAGTGGTAGGTACCATTATTATCCCCATTTTACAGATGAGGACACCGAGGCCAAGAGAATGTAAGCGACTTGCCCAAAGACACAGCCAGTAGAGCAAGAACAAGATGTAGGCCTAAGCATCCGCCCCGTACCTACATTCAGAAACTTCTACAGCACCCTCCTCAAGGAGAATAATGGAAACAGTTTCTCAAAGCACCCCTGGGGGTCATCTCTGATTATTTGTTTTCCAGAGCACAGAGAGAGCACATGTCATGTTTTTATTTCAACCCACTTCTCTCCCCATCCCCCCACCACTCCCAAACACACACTCAAGAAAGTGGGGGGGGGGAGGGGCGTGGAATTACTTTACAAGAACGAGGGATCACATTTAGGAACTAGCTGCTTCCCAGTTACGGGAACATGAAGATTGGGAATGGATTCCGGGTTCCCGGGGCTGCGCTTCAACCTGGGGCCCCCGTGGGGGGCGGCCCTTCCCCCCCCAGCCCGCTGGATCGCCACAGGCCTACTCTGTGTTCTTAGCAAGTGTTGTTCCAAAGTACGGCCCGCAGGGCACAGATTTGGGGTATTCTTTTATTATTATTATTATTATTACTATTATTATCTTAAATATTTATTTATTTTTGAGAAAGAGAGAGAGAGCAGAGACAGGAGGAGGGGCAGAGAGAGGGGGACAGAGCATCCAAAGGGGGATTCCTGTGGACAGCACGGAGCCTGATGTGGGACTCAAACTCACAAACTGCGAGACTGTGACCTGAGCCGACATCACTCAACTGAGCCACCCAGGCCCCTCGGGGTGGGGTGGGGTGGGGTGGGGTCTTTTTAGAAGGGACCTTTGTGATGACATAATCCAACCCCCTCAGTTTACAGATGGGGAACCCGAGGCTCAAAGAGGCTGGGCAGTGAGTTGGGCTCCAAACCCAGGTCTCTTGACTTGGTCAAGACCTTGACAGGTCTCTTGACCCAGCGCTTCCTCCCTGGCCCTGAAGCTGCCTCTGAAAAAACCAAAATGGGAATAAAATGTAACGGGTTCCAGGCTAGCTTCTCAGAGCGTTAACCTGAGGAAATGCTGACCACGGGCAGCAAATGGTACCCACCATTCTATGCCCCCAGGAGCCAAGAATGTCCCAAGAGAACAGTATTCGCCCACGGGACCCGGATCTGCGGGCAGGCATGTGGGGAGCCACCCCACGCCCCGGGAGGGAGCCGGTCAGCGATCGGCAGCCAGGACTGGCCTCGCTCTGGAAACTCTAGACCCACAGTGAAAGCAGAAGTGGGCAATTTACTCTGTGCGATGACAAACTGGCGGTGTGTGTGCGGGAAGCATGGGGGGGGGGGCGGCGAAAAGGAATCATGGTGCTTATGGGTGGAAATGAGCAAAAGAGGCAGAAAGAAACACGGGGCGGCATGCACGGGGGACACACGGACAAAGCCACGCGGAGGTGCTAGTGTGTGAGAGCCGAGGGGACGAAGCAAGGCCGGGGTTAGGGGAGAGAGGCTTACTTCAGTAGTTTGATATTACACATAATCAGCTCCTTCCAGTTAACAAAAATCATAGCACCCTCTTTCTCTGTCAGCAGCTCAGACTCCATCAGGGGTTTCTGAAAGATCTACAGGTGCAGAAAACGAAGCAGTTCAGAAAGCAAACCGTTAGCGTTACACCTGAAACACACGCACGCAGGTCTGTGCAGAGCATGGAGAGGACCGGGCCGTCTGCAGCTTTGTGGGGAGGCCCAGAAGCTTCCCGCAGCTTCTGCAGCAGACGCCCCTCCCCCACTCTACCCGAGCGGTTGGGGGGGGCGGGGTTCCCCATCAGGTCTCTGCACTGTTTTACAGGGAAGGGTGGCTGAACTCTAGAGGACGGGCCTTAACTCCACCAGGATAAAGCCAGGAGGCCTGTCGAAAGTCACGCACACTCTTACCTGCCCACAGTGGGGGGTGGGCATGGCGGGAAAAGTGGGGGGCTTCAGGATGCACGTGGGTGTGGGTGGCTCCTTCAGGCTCCCCTGCAGCGTCTGCTGCGTAGACAAGCCTCGGGCACCCGGAGGGGAGCCGCCCAAGGAAGCAGGGACTCTAACCAGCAGCCTGGGTGATGTCTTCTGCCGCTGGGCCCTTGGCCTGGGCCGGGCTGGTACAGGGGCCGGCTGCGGCTCCAGGAAAGAAATGAGCCTGCCCAGGATCCAAGCTCTGCGTGGTTGGGTGACTCAGGGTAAATCGCAGCTCTCCGCCCAGCCCCACGTGGCGAGCCCCTGCCTGCAAAGAGGTCATCGTCTCCTACTGGAAGCAGGGCGTTCTTCTGAAAGGTCTTTAGAGATGGGACAGCCTGTCCCATCTTTGAAATAAATGTGGCTGGGCTCAGGCTGTTCCCTGGGAGCCCTATTCTTCATGAGTCCTTGAGCTGACATTGAACCCAGCATGTACCAGACCACTGCACAAAAGTACCACATCTAAGGGGGTGACATTCACATCCTAGACATCCTAGATTGCATATTTAGTGACAGTCAAGTGTCTTGAGGAAGGGGCCCTTTTCCTAAGTATGCACCATGACTTCCTATGCATGAATGTGCCTCCTGGACCAGTAACCCATCCCGCCTCCTGTACCCATTCAACACTGGGCAGCGGGTGGTGACGTTCCTGGTTAAGGCTGTCCAAGGAGATAGTTGCACAACTGTTAGGTGAGGGGCAGCGGGGCAGCAGGAGTTTCAAAACTATTACAATGTTTTTCAAACTGTAGAGTGATCCTGCCATTCAGCTCTGCAAACCCCTGTTGCTAACATGGCAACTTCCTGTGAGCATAAACAAAAGTCTTCTTCAAAACCAGGAGTTCCCAACTCTGCCTCTCCTCATCCTTCTGGACCAAGTGGCCCAGGCCTTTCAACAGCCACCCAGGAGGAGAGACAAAACAAGGCATCCTCTGGGACAGGGCAGTGCACGGGGCCCTGGGAGAAAACATCTTCATTCTCAGCAATAGATTTTCCTCAGAGGTAAAATGTACCACCAGGAATGACTCGAGATATTGGCTGGATGGCTGCCATTTTCAGATGCCAACCCTGAGGCCTGGGACACTACATGGTCTGCTCTATGGCATTAACTAGTTGGTGGCTAAGCACCCACTTCTCCGAGGAGTCTCCCAGTCCCCAGCCCACGTGTCTCTTTCCACACACCTCCTCACGGACTCATCATCCCCTGACATGAGTGATCCCTCTACGGGGATGACTCAGAGGGCCACGGATAAGAGTTCGACCATCTTCTCTTGGGTAGAAATCTCCTGTGTGATTTACCATCCAGATGCTCCCCACACATCAGAAAACCTCTCAGGCTGAGAATCAGGGTGCAGCCCTCCTTAACAGAGGTCCCCCTTCTCCCCAACCTCTGCCAGTATCCCCGGCCCCCACCAGCACCCATAGCTGCCGTTACCTCTGTGACCAGCTGGAGGTCATTCACATAGTTCTCCTCTGTCACAATGAGCTCATGGATGTATCCTTGCCGCTTTCTTTCAGTGGGGGTCAGCATATCCAAGAGGTGTAAGTCTGAACACCCTGGAAGACACAACCATTGGGACATTTTAGTGCAAGTCTAGGGAAGCTCATATAGCCTCACAGCGAAGAACCTGGGGCCTCGTGCCTGCTGGTCCCTGTGGCCTCACTGGAGTTGGGCAGTGTTACGGGTTCGATCACGTTCCCTAATAATACGTATTCAAGTTCTTTTTTTATATATATAATTTTTTTAATGTTTATTTTTGAGAGAGAGAGAGAAAGAGACAGAGCACGGGCAGGAGAGGGGCAGAGAGAGAAGGAGACACAGAATCCGAAGCAGGCTCCAGGCTCTGAGCCATTAGCACAGAGCCCGATGCAGGGCTCGAACTCACAAACCGCGAGATCATGACCTGAGCCGAAATCGGACGCTCAACAGACTGAGCCACCCAGACGCCCTCACATTCCAGTTCTAACTCTTGGTTCCTGTGGCTGTGACCTTAGGTTCCTGTGACTTGGTTCCTGTTCCTCGGAACCCTTGGTTCCTGTGACCTATACCTATGACCTTGGTTCCTGTGACTGTGACTGTGACCAGAAATCAGGCTTCTGGAGATAGAGCCAAATTGAGATGAAGTCATACTCAATTAGGGTGGGCTCTAATCCCATGTGACTGGTGTCCTTATGGGAAGACATACAGAGACGGTCAGAAAGAAGGTCATGTGACAACAGAGGCAAGGACAGAGGCAGGTGCAAGCCAAGGAACACCAAGGATTGCCAGCCACCATCGGAAGCGAAGAGGAAGGCACGGAAAAAATCTCCCCCAAGGCCTCCAGAGGGACATGTCTCTGCCAACACTTTGCTTTTGGACTTTTCTCCAAAACTGTGAGAAAATAAATTTCTGTTGTTTTGAGCCACCCCCTGTGTGGCCTTTGTTGCGGCAGCCTAGCGAACCGAACTTCGTCCAAACCGCTGACACGATAATGTCCAGAGAAGACTAAGGAGTAATTGGACGGTATTTCCTGAGGGCTCACCCCACGCCAGGTGCTCCACAAGGAGCTCTATGCTGGCAGGTCTGCTCAAAGCCCACAGAGGCTCCGGAAGCATCACCATTTCACAGACAAGGAAACGGAGCTTCTGACGGGTTGCCTCACCCCAAATCTCTTAGCTTTGCAGTGGCCGAGACTCGAGCCTCACGCTTTGACGCCAGAACCTGGGCTCTACCCCAGACGGCTACTGTTGTTGGGTCCCAGCTACAGGAGGGCATCAGCTTGTCCTGAGGTTGGCTCTCGGAGGCTCAGGTGGCTGTGCTGAGGCTCCTGCTGGGCCTGGGCACAGGGCAGAGAGATGTGGAGAGCGTTCAGACAGTGCCAGGTAAAGTCCATGAGCCAGGCTGCTGCCGTGTGCCTGGAGAGGCATTAAGCCCGAAGACAGACAGGGAAACTGCCCCGGCTGCAGACAGCTGGGCACATCCGGGGCCCCAGGTGCCCGAGGGAACGGGCTCGGTTGACCTGAGATGGGACACACACGGAAGCTGGTGCCTGCCCTTGCCTCTGCTCACCTGGTTGGCTATTTAGGGTTTTGTTGGCTTTGAACGTTCTCCGCTTATCAGCGGAGGCTGCCTCATGACACGGCACGCTGGAACGGGGTGGGGGGGGGAAGCCCCCTTTCTTGGGGGTACCCTTCATACAGGCCTGGGCCCACCTGTTCCAGGCCCGTGGTCTCTCCTCTCCTTTTTATGAGGGGTTCTTCATTTATCACACACACACACACACACACACACACACACAAACAAATTTGTAAAATAGACTGAAAGGTGTCCTGGATGTAGGCGGGAATGCAGGCAGGGGGGTCCCATTCTGTTGCTTTTCTCATACCATTTCCCCCCACAAGGGGGCGCGATGGAGCACAATATGAAACATCTGCCAGCCGCCAGTGGTTCTCAAAGTGTGGTCCCGGGACCAGTAGCATGAGCCACACCAGGGAACTTGTTAGAAGTGCAAATTACCAGGCCCCTGCGGAATAGACTACCTGGATTTGGAGCCCAGGAATCTGATTTAACAAGCTCTCCAGGTGATTTTTTTTAAGGCAAATTAAAGTTTGAGAAGCTTGCTCTGGACTATCAGGAATTCCTCAGAGTTTCCATCTTCCCCGCAGAAAGTCTTCCCCCTAGACTGGGGCTCATGACCTAGTCTATATGCTGGAAGATTCCGCAAATACGATGATCCCTCTGAAGTGAATGATATCACTGACTTCTTAGCAAACGTTTTCCTGTGCCAGAGATGAGCTCCACATCTGGGTCCTTCTAGTCCTCAGTCTTGTACCCTCCCCTGGCCAAATGCCCTTTCTAGAATGCTTTAGATTCTCTTCCTGGAACAGGACAATTTGAGGATGGGCAGGCAGATGGGAGCTGGGAAAGCAGCAGGGACAAGCCATCCTTATGTTAATATTCTCCATGCCCATCCCCATGACCTCATTCAAAGCCACTGCAATGTGGCCAAACTATAAATCCACAGATCTGTGAGCTGGGCACAAACCACCATGCAGGTCTGCAGATGAATCTGGAACTTGGGCCCTCCACTCAGCCACCAGCTTGGTCCAGCTGTTCTTTGCGGGTTGGGGCGTTGGCTGTGCTTCATTAGAACAACTGCTCCCTCAGCGAGCTCTCAGGAAGGAAGCAAGTCCTGATGGCTCGCTCTGTTCAGTTCTGCCCGCCTCTGCCGAGCCCCTGCGGGAGCTTCGGCTTTTGAGTGGTGGAGTGACACCACCAAGTTCTTGGGCTTTCATTAAGAAAGCCACCTGGGAAACACTCTTCAGTTTGGGAGGAAACATCTCACTTGTCACCTATTCTCACCAAACTGTCCTGTCAATGAGTCAAAGAGCCCAGGAGAGAGGAAGGCTTGTTCTTATTACAGAGCAGAACGCAGCCCTTGCATTACAGGGACTTGTTGGAACTCTCACGGAGCAGGGTCTCCCCTAGAATTTTCAGGACATTCCTTTCTTTTTAAAAAAAATTTTTTTAATGTGTGTTTACTTTTGAGCGAGAGAGACAGAACGCGAGCAGGGGTGGGGCAGAGAGAGAGGGAGACACGGCATCCGAAGCAGGCTCCGGGCTCCGAGCCGTCAGCCCAGAGCCCGACGCAGGGCTCGAACCCATGAACCGTGAGATCGTGACCTGAGCCGATTTCGGATGCTTAACCCGAGCCACCCAGGTGCCCAGGACCTTCCTCGCTGGGGGGATATTAGGATATTGTTTAGAGCTGCAGTTGTTAGACGCATCCCACACCGTGCACTGGTGTTTGCAGGGATACAAACATCGGGCTAGGACATCAGGGGGACACTGGTTGCCCCCATCCTCTGAACATCCCTTTCAGTCACAATTTCCCTTGGAGAACATGATGGATGCTATGAACTCTGGCCCCAGAAAACTCACATGTACAACACACACACACACACACACACACACA